TTCCTTGAAGTGGGATGCATTTGCCGATTGTACTAGAGCAATGTAAGCAGGGCCGGCTTGAATCGGGTCATCACCCTCCTTTCGGTCAACTGTAGCATGGCGATCTTCCACTGACTTCTCTTCGACATTGCGGCTAGACTCACCAACCGCCCTCCTCTTCTTCTTAGATGGCTTTCGTGTTGCATTTATGATCGAAGAAAAGCTAATCATCTTTGTGATAAAAAAAAAACTCAACTGAGGGACAAAGGGCAAGAAACAAAATTTGAAGGTAATGAAAATAGTGCGACCTACCTATAGGGCTAAGGCCGACCTTGATGAGCAACAATTCATCTAGGAACTAGGGGTGAGCAAAAAAAAATGAAAAACCGAACCGATCGAAACTGAACTGAAAAATCGGTTAACTGAACCGGTCGGTTTGGTTTCGGTTAACCATTTAAAAAAACCGGCGGTTAACTGAACTGACCAATATATATATATATATATTTATATAATATTATATATATATATTATATTACATTTTTATTTTTCAAATAGGTTCAACAGTAGGTTCGGCGACTGAGAAGAGGCTTTCAATTTTTGCCTCTCTTTGAACCAATTAAAACTTTCGGCGGAGTGCTAGAGTGCCACTGCTAGTCACTCTCTTTAAAACTCTGCAAGTCTGCCACCAGACACTCTTCAAAACTCGAAACCACTCAAGCTTTTTTCTCTTCTCAACTTCTTTCACTCTATCTTTTCTTTTGTCTCTCTAGTCTCTCCCTTCTCTTCTCAAACTACCGCGCGGCCTACGCCAACCACCAGCACCAAGCGGCAATGTCGGCCGCTGCCTTGCCAGTGGGCAGTGGTTTTGAAGCATCTGAGATCCTTCTCTCTCTCTCTCTCTCTCTCTCTCTCTCTCTCCTCTCCTCTCTACGGCTCCGCTAGTAATCACCAACACCAACTAGTCCGACATCGACAACAACCACCACCACCAACCAGTCCAACATCAACAACAACCACTGACAATTTTAGGGTCTTTTTTTATATTTAAGTGCATAAAAAACCAAAAAACTGAACTACGGTTAACCGGTCCATCAGCCAGTTAACTGATTGCATCGGTCCGATTTCGGTTTGGATATTTAAAAAACTAATTAGGTTAGTTCGGTTTGAAAAAAATATGAGCACCCCTACTAGGAACTCGTCGACCAAGGAGAGTCGTTCAATGAGGAGTCTAAAGTCATTCAGTAACTCCTCATCGAACTCAACTTCGTACCTTCTTGGTTCAGCCCTCCAGGTCATCGACATTGGCCAACCTTCATCATGTCTTAGAAAGAAGAACTTTGTCTTCCAATTCACGATTTTAGATGGAAAACCGCCCAGAAGCTTAAACCCAGACCAGTAGCTAATGTAGAAACAGTAAGGCTCATTGGGAAACATCTTTATATTGCATAGCCCCAAGAAGATATCTATATATAAGGGGAAACCAAGGTGATAGCTAAGAGAAATGGTGCCTACAATGGTCCTGGTTAAGTTCGGGTGCAGTTGACCTAGTGCCAAACCATAGTGATGGAGGATTTCACAAACAAACGGATGAAAGGGAAAGCAAAGCCCGATAACGAGGGCTTCCTTGAAGACACAGGCCTCGGTTTGTCCATGGCTCCACGGATATTTCCCATCCTCAGGCTGGATACAATTCAAGTTATTAGGGATCTGATAGGTGGTAACCAGATCCACTATCTCCTCGTAGGACAGCTTGGAAGGCCCAAAACCTATTATAGACGAGGCCTGTTAAGAGGTCGAGGCCCCTCTATGGGAACCTCTTCGTTCTTGAGACGAGGACCCTCCTCTGCTTGAGCATTTGGGTAACACTCCCTCTCCAATCCGCTAGACATGACTAAGAGGAAAAAGAGGCTCATCGATGAGAAGAGGAAAAAGACGGGTTGCTGGAAGCTGCCACCGCCGAGCCGAAGATCGTCAAAGCTCCACCAATCTTTGCCCCAACGTAAATCCAAAATCGGATAGAAAAATGGGGCCCTTGAGGGTCCCCTAAATTTATAGATAGAAGCATGAACTACCGATGGACCAGATTTTCCCAATCCAATGGCACAAGAGGAAGCATGTGTTTGAAATTTTAAAGGTTGTGCACACCGTAATTTTATATTTTGAAAGCGCCCTGTTTTGAATTGTGAAAAGCCACACCCAATTTCAAGTGCGTGCCTATTTTAGACTAGAAATGTTGTTTTCGCACCAATAATAGCTCAACAGGTCGGACAACCCAAGCGGACTGACTCGACTGACATCCAGAGCAGGTCACCTCGGGCCTCATATTCAAACAAGCTACACCCTTCACCGAACTGGCCTCGGCTCGAGTGTGGGGGGCAACTGATGAGGGGTGATTTGGCCCTCCGCTGACCTAATGACATGTGGCATCTGTCTTCGCTGCTTGACACCTCAATGCCACACGGATAGTTGCGTATCTCACCAAGTCAAGGAGATGCACCCCAACATCAGTCCAAGGCACCTCATACACAACTTGGGCACCTCAGTAGGGCGGCTAGCAACACCTCATCTAGGGCCGACATGTGGTACCTTGTCATTACCGGTCCAAGGGACACTTGGCGTGAGGAGCGACCTCCCTCAAGGACTTTCCGACCTAACTGAGGTCCAAGTGGCAACCTGTGAGGCATGCTCGCCGACCTCCGGAAGTCAATTCCCGCACCGAATGATCCAGAGGAAGACACAAAAGCCTAGTTTGCATGCGAAACTACCTCCGAGGACTTTAGACCGATCAGCCACGTCTTCTCGGAGATCTTGGACATGGAGCGTGGAGCTCACGCCAAACAATGCCTATATAAAGGTCTCACTTCCAACTTCAAAATGTATGTGCGATTTAGCTCTCACAGCTCTCTAGCTCTCTCGCTTTAAAGCTCTCAATACACTTATCTCTGACTTAAGCATCGAAGTGTCTATACTGGGAAAGCATCTCGGACACTCTGATCTCTCTTTTCTTACAACTCGACCAGGTGATCTACTTAGTTTGACATCCGAACTATTTGCCAGTAGAGAGCGTCAGATCGCGCATCATCAATTCTCTATGCGTGGATGGAATGAATGTGATGCAGTTTGTGCAAGCGATTCATAATTCAAAGAAACTCAAAAGGAGGAAGAACTGAATCATGATATATTACATCTGGCGAGAGTCCTGCTTCTATTGATTTATTTGCAGAGAAGAATCAAAAAGCTCAGGTGGGTGGCGCTTCTGATGGGAGGAGAAACGATTGGAGAGAAAAACGATGGAGAGGAGAGGAGAGAAGAGAAGAGGAGGGTTTAATGCCTGCATACTACTTCGCTGATTTCAGCTTGTGCAAGGCTCTGATATAATTTTCAATCGATTTCAGTATTCCGACGTCATATTCCACTTATCAGTACAACGGGGAGAATTGGTCTGTTAGGGCACAGAGTGGTGAACAATGATTCCCACTTGCAGAGGAAAGCTATTATCATTGAAGGCATTTTCGTCATTTCATTCGGTTTTAAAAAACGTGAGGGGTAATTTTATCATTGACGTCCATTAACGGAAGGTATCAAATTGTCACGTTTTAAAAATTCGGATAATGAATTATGGTTATTTTAAAATTCGAAAGCCAAATTAATATTAGATCCAGAATTTTTCTTAAATTATAATACATTATCTAGCGTGTCAAAACGTTCTTGATTTTCAATGAAATAGTTGCAACTAATACACCACGATACCAAACATACCCTTAATGGTCAACTGATGTGACTGATCGAAGGCAGCATGGTGTATTAATTTATTTCTTCCAAAACGTCATACACAATTTTCTATAAAATAAACTAAAACTCCTCCATGCGCCAGATTCTATAATCACGCCCAATAAAATAATAGGTTATTTAGATTCCAATTTGTTTGACAAGTGCATTAGCATTAGCCAAATAATTTATAAACTAGTGGACGTGGATCCACATTTAAATTATTATTTAATAACTTTCTTGACTCAACACTATTTAATACAAATATGTGGAGACACTACCAGGGGCGCTTGCCCCAGGCCCCCAGCTTTGTTTAGCCACTTGGAAGATGAATTCAGTGAAAGCGAGTGATGTTTCTTTTGATTACAACTCTTAATATTGGACTTTGAGGGGATTCCTATTAATACAGACTAAAGTATTGTATTTATATATGTGGATTCTAATTCAGCCTCAAATCATAGTGCTCTCATGATTCTTGGTACTTTGTTTTCCTTTTGGTGAGTGAGTTCAAAAGTGGAATATGCATCACAATTCATAAATGAAGTGCCCATTGAGTCAGTAACTGCCTAAATTGGTCCACAACACTAGTCCAAACCTTCATCACTACATCTATGGTGAAAATATAGGGTTAACTGGGGCCCAACTCCTTAGGAACTGGTTTTACAATTCAAGGACTGATAAGAGTATGCCGTCTATGAGTAGTATTCTACAATTGTAATTTGCAGCTGAATAGAAATAAAGGGGATTTTGTGTCAAGAAACGATTACCATGAAAGGTGTGTTTCTAATGAGGGTTTGAGACTTGAACAAAGAAAGAAAAAAACAATGATTGTCTAAAATGTATCCCAGGTAACACAACCAGTCGAATTCATCTATTCTTAAAGATGGAGGCAATTCCATTAAACAAAGCTTAACCAATTACTAGCCTTAATTTAGTGAAATTTCAATATCCACCATTGCAGAATGAGAGAAGACCTCTGCTTTTTCCAAGGAGCATAGTCTGTCCATCATCTCCCTGATTACAACATTCTATTCTTTCACTGTCCATATCTTGCTATTATCAATGCCAAGACACCAAGACAGGGACCTAACAACATTCCATGTTCACATTCTATTAGAATTATATTCCTCTTTATCTTCTGCAGTTTTGTAATGGGGTCATTCCCCAATGGTCTCTCTCTCTCTCTCTGGTGAGGAAGGCTGACATGTGAAGCAGATTTGCTTTTGGATGCAAATTGAGAGGACACAAAAAAAGATTCTAATCCAAGTAGATCACAAATCATATTCCATGTTCACATTCTACTCATAGAAGGTTCCATCCATATAAAATCCCCCAACTGGAAGTTGATCATCTGGAATCACAAGATCATCTCTAATCAAGCATATATGTATGGGTCTTCCCCCTGGACCAACATCCAAACACTTCTCATCTACCACTTGAGTCCTCGTGAAAATGAAGAAATTTAAGTATGGAACTACAGCTACCCAAGAGCCTTTGCCCTTTAGCCTTATGATATAAAGCCAGCAAAAGAACTAGAACCAGAACCACAAATATCAAATATTAAGGTTTGCATACATGAACAAGTCACAACTAAAGGCCTATCCTTATTCTTAACCAAGGGCAAGATTAAACCCAGAACCAGGTTTCAGATGCAAAACCTGAGCAACAACAACAACAACAAAAATCGAGCTAATTCAAATATTAAATTCTTTGACTGATCATCGATCGATCAATCGGCCAAAGCAACCGCATGATGATGAGGAGGAGGAGGAATAGGGGGAAGAGAATGAGAACAAAACAACTGAATCTGTTGAAGAAAAGTAAGATGCTGAGGCCTATCCTTTCTTCTCACGTAACCACTCGCCTCTTTCTCGGAATACCTCCTGAACCCCTTCTCCCCATTCCTTTTCCACAACTCTTCTCCGTAACTCCTGTGCGCGTAATACGCTTCCGCACCCACCACGATCGTTCCATCTCCGCTCTCGACGCCGCTGCTTGCCGAACATACCTCCACCGGCAACCTCTCGTAGTGCCCTCGACTCGTTCCCTCCAACTCGTCCATCCGAGCGAGCCCTTGTGCGGACACGGCGTACAATTCTCCCCAAACTCGCTCTCCGCATCCCGGGAGGTTAAGGAGGAAAGGGACTCTATAGGGACCGCAGACAAGTGGGTAACTCTCCACCGTTCGGTAAACGCCGAGATAGACGGCGTCCCCTGTTCGGATCATGTCCTGAACAAGGTTGTGATTGAAGAAGCCTCGTTTCAAGGTCCCATACGTGAAGATCAAGCTTCGGTGCTCCTCGTCGGCGCCCATCTGCGCTGCTCCGATGGTGTCCGGAAAAGCCCAACTAGAAACCTAATAGTCTCTCAGTCCCTCCCTCTTTGATTCTCTTATCAAAGGTCCGTTCTTTATAGAGGGAGAGGGAGAGAGAGAGAGAGAGGGAGGGGGGAAGAAATGGAGCAACGGACAGAATCTGAGGTTGTCGTGGGTCCGGTTGAGGTCACTGAGTGATGCGATCAAAAGAGGGAGACGGGCGGAAGGTAGTAAGTTGTTTTATACTTTCATTTCGTTGAAAGGTGGTTTGGGATAATTGGGGGTTGGGGTTGCGTTGGTTGCGTGATACAGTTATACTATACAGAGGAGACTGGTGATCTGCTGCTCACAACGCTATGTTAGTTTGTGTAACAAACACGTCAGTGGGTTTATCGTTATGTTCAGAAGACTGGCCTGGCCTCTTCAGTGGTGATTGGTTATGTAGCTCGTTACACACGAGTTCCCCTGCGCTACACATCTACATGTTACAAGGCGGGCGGTACTTCCATCCGCTTGTAATACGTAGATGGTTGGTTAGTGACGTAAAAAAAAGTAAAGGCAAAAGTGCTAATTTCCGTTATTTATTCTACATTTTTTAACCTAAAAAATAAAAGAAAAACTATAAGTTTATTCATGATTTTTGAACCACTATTGAACCGGACGATCAGACCGTTTGGCCTGAGAAACGTCCAGACAATCAGTTTTGTTTTACCTCAAACTTGGTTTTTGGCCAAAAACCTTTAAATCGGTCAATGACCCATCGACTCATTCAACGATTTTTGACTATTTTTTATTTTAATTATTTTTTAAAATTTTTATGAAAAAATGGGCCATTCGTTTGAATCAGGTGGTTGAACCGTTGATTCGAAAACTAATTGTTAGAACAGATCGAATCGGACCGGACAGTCATATCGGAGAAACCGTCCATTTTACCACAGAACTGTTATTTTGCCAAAAACGTTGATTTGGTCAACAAACCACTGACCCATGCGTTTGAACCGTTTGAATTGTCCAACGGTTTTGGCCGTTTTTTAATTTTTTTTGTCAGAATGGGTCATTCGTTCGATTCGAACGGTCGGACTGTTCGACTTGGACTGGACCCCTAACCAGTTAGGGGTCCAATGGTCAAACAACGAACTGATCAAGGGTCCGGTCCGGGTCAAACGGATCGACTGTTTGAATCGAATGAATGGCCCATTCTGACATTAGGGGTCCAATGATCGAACAACGAACTGGTCAAGGGTCCGATCTGGGTCAAATAGACCAACTGTTTGAATCGAATGAATGGCCCATTATGACAAAAAATTAAAAACAAAAATAAAAAATGGCCAAAACCGTTGGATGGTTCGAACACCCGGGTCAGCGGTTTGCTAACCAAATCAACATTTTTGGTAAAATAACGGTTCTGGGGTAAAATGGATGGTTTTTCCGATCTGACCGTCCGGTTTGTTTTGGCCACCGGTTTTTGAGTTGATAGTTCGATTGTCCGATTCAAACGAATGGCCCGTTTTAACATAAAAAATTTAAAAAAATAATTAAAATAAAAATGGCCAAAATCGTTGAATAGGTCGACGAATCATTAACCAATTCAAAGGTTTTTGGCCAGGAACCGGGTTTGAGGTAAAACGAAACCGGTTGTCTAAACGATTCTAATGGCAGTTCAAAAACCATAAATAAACTTAAAGCTTTTCTTTTATTTTTTAAGTTAAAAAAAATGTAGAACGAAAATCAATACTCCCGTCTTTACTTTTTTTGTACTTCACTTAAACCATCTATGTGTTACAACGTGGATGGAAGTGCAGCCCATGTTGTAACATTTTTTGTACTTCACTTAAACCATCTATGTGTTACAACGTGGATGGAAGTGCAGCCCACGTTGTAACATGTAGATGTGTAGCCCAATCGAACTCGTTACATACAGCTTAGAGAAATACCCAAGTGGAAAATTCCAACCCGATCCAATTTTTGGTAAACCACCCAGTTCACCTTCTTAAGCCGACCTTCATAGGAGGTGTAATGTGGTTTTACGGGCAGCCTGCACTGGAACGGACAATGCTGGTATGCGGGTTTGGGCAGGCCATGCTTGCTTGGCCTGGAATCCCTCGAAAGGGAGGCCCCGGGGCAGCATGATTTTTTTAAGTTAAAAAATAATAAAAAAATTAAAATAAATTAATAAAATATACACGAAATTGAAAAAAAAAATCTTAAAGTTTTATTTTATATGAGTTTTGATGTATACAATTATTTATATATGAAATAATAAAACAAAATCGAATTAAAATAATATAATAAAATTGAAAAAAAATTATATACTTAATATAGATTATAGATATATATTAATATATTATTATATATAATAATAATATATATTCAGGCCGTGTCATGCTTGGGTCGGGCCTGGCATGGCCCAAGTTGCAAGTAAATCTCCTTTCGTTAAAATCTTTTAAAAAGAGGCATGGATGGAAGTGTCCAAAATACCCATTTAGTTACTTTTGGCCAAAATGTTTATTTTTCCAAATTTTTTCTTCATATTAATTGCTAACCTAAACCCTTCCACTCTGTTTTTTTAATTGATTTATTTTTTTTAAATTGCCTTTAATATTAATTGCTAACCTAAACCAGCCTCAATAGTAATCGCATGAGTATTTTAGACATTTTCATGCCTCTTGTTAGTAGGTTCTAACCAGGGGGGGTTTACTTGTAGCTATGTTAGAAAGTCCAAGATAGGTTTTAGCAACGGTCAAAAAGTTCAAGGGAGATTTTAGTAATTTATCCTAAATTTTATCATCATACAAATTCCATTCATGGCAAACTCAAGGGGAGGGGTAGTATACTAAATTTATAAAAAATATTCATCTCTTAATGTACATCTCTAACGTGCTATCTTTGGAAGGTTTTGAAAAGTTAGGGTGAGTTTAAGAGAAATGAGGAAAAGAAAAGTAGGGTTGTCAATGGATTGGGTCTGACCCCATGGATCCGAACCAATTGGGTTAGTTATGGTTCTAGGGTTTGGTACTAATAGGTCAGTTTTGATTCTTGATATGTTGTCTCGATTATTATTGGTTTGGAGCCGATTCTACCTAGTCCCAATCCCATGGACCCGAATTGATTGGGTTGGTTATGGTTGCAGGATTGGTACCAAAGGGTCAGTTCCGAATCTTGATATATTGTCCCAATTATTATTGATTTGGAGCTTATTCTACCTAGCCTCGAATTGACTTAGACCCAAACTAAGTCATATATTATTAAATAAATTAATATAATATATTAAATGTATAATATTTTTAGTAGGTTTATTATAAGGGCAAATTTCTTAAACTACCCCTAATATTTAGCTAATTAACAAACTATACCCTTACTATGTAACTAGTATCTTAAAGTACCCTCAAGTTTTTTGACAAATGACTAATTACTCCCCTACTATTAAGGTCCCGTCACAATTCGACATGCCACACCACGTGACTGTTATATTTTGAGAAAATGGCAGTAATATCATTTTCGTGTGGAGAACGGAGAAACAACTCTCTTATTCTAGAAAATGAACCAGAGGAAGATCCCTTTTTCTACAAAAACTTCCGTGTTGCTTTCGTCCGAAAAATGGGTCGATCATCACTTGGGTTTTATTTTGAAATTTTGAAAAATAATGAAGGGTAAATTTGAAAATTTACTTTTTCTGTCAATAGTTAACGATGATGACAATTATTAGATAACTTGGAGGTACTTTAAGACTACAATAAGGGTACAATTTGTTAATTAGCTAAACAGTAGAGATAATTTAAGAAATTTGCCCTTATTATAATTGGATCTATCGAGTCAGACCTAATTGTCTCAATATCTAATCGATTTGGTTTTAGGTATAAAATTACAGACCCCTATAGGGTCTGATTCAATTTTTGGTCCTTAATACTTCTTGTCGAGTCGGTTCAAAATCTACCAGGACCCGACCTAGATTGGCTTGTTGCCAACCCTAAAGAAAGTGAAGGGAAATTTTAGATAGTAACCCTAAATTAAATGGTTTCAATTCTTAGACTTGAGATAATTGCTTGACTTCAAGATATTAGTCCTATATAGAGGCAGTTATAAGTGCCAATGCCTTTAAATGATTTTGAGACGATTTTATATGCCTCTAAAAAAATCTAAGAAAAGGAAAAATCTCAATTAAAAAGGTTTCAATTTTTTAGAGTCACTTTTAGCTGCCTCTAAAACTATATGCCTTGACATTTAGAGACACTTTTGATTGCCTCTAAAAAGGTTCCAACTTTTTTTTTAAAAAAGTACAATATATTGTGAATATTATTCCATAAAAATTTCAATTAATACACCTGTATGAAAATATATCTTCAATCAAAACATAAAACTTGTATGTTTCATCGAAAAGATACACCTTATCCATAAATTGTGAATAATTCCAATTGAATTACATCATTATTTTAAGAACAAAAAACACAACATTTAGCCCTCATTATATTCCTTCTTCAATCAAATATAGAGTCCAAAAGAAATACCTTTTAACATTTAAAGAAACAAAATGCTCTTTATAGTCTTCATCCAATCCTCTCTTCCTCTACAACCTGTAAAGAAAAGCAACAAAAAGAAAAAAAAAAAAAACAAAGTAAATAGGTATAATTTTTGTAAGTTAATAGCTTTTGTCTATCTAATTACATATAGCAAGAATTATGAAACAAAAATAATTGTACGTGAGTTTGTAATATTACTAAGAATGAAGGCCATGCAATAGTAGCTTTGAGGGAGAAGTTCAAGGGTCTCTGCAAGGTGATAAAGGATGTCTTGAGAGATAAGGTTGAGAAGGTTGTAGTGTTAGACTGTGTGGTGGACTCTCCTTGTTGTTTGGTTACTGGGGAGTATGGATAGACTGCCAACATGGAAAGGATCATGAAAGCACAGGCACTGAGAGACATAAGCATGGTTGGCTATATGTCTAGCAAAATGACCATGGAAATTAATCCCAAGAAGCCCATCTTGGAAGAGCTCAGGAAGAGAGCTGATGCTAACAAGAATGATAAATCAGTAAAAGATCTGGTTCTCTTGTTGTTTGAGACCACTCTTCTCACTTTGAGTTTCAGTCTTGAAGACCCCAACACATTTGGCAATTGGATTCATAGGATGTTGAAGCTTGGGATAAGCATTGATAAGGATGGTGGGGATGCTGATGTGGACGCTGATATGCCCCCACTAGAGGATGCTGATGCTGTTGCTGA